TATGATTCCTTCTAGGAACCCTCTTTATGAATCCTCTCTGGTTCCTCCTTGATTCCTCTGTTGGTGATTGTAGTGGTGTGGCTATCTCTATCTAGGTTGTTCGCGCGAGAATAGGGATGTCTAAAGAATCATATGAGATTAATTAAATCATTTCTTCTGTAGTTATTGATGATCCAAACTGGGTCCTCCTCTAGTCACACAGTACATGCAAGCTGTATATAACCAAGATCAAATAGACCTTCGAATAGGTGATCCTACTCCAAAACCACAACCAAACAAGGAACAGGTAGTAGAGCGAAGATCACCAATTCTAAGTCTATAAGATCCCAATTATATATAACCCTGGAAGCATGCACTTCGCAACTATAGACCTGCCAGTAAAGGTCTTTTAGTTCTCATTCAAGTTTGTTATAGTGCCTAAAATACTCATATAGTATTTTATCTTTTTGTTTTGTTCTAAGGATACTTTTGTATATGGAGTTAGGTAAGTTTTAGACTCGTTGCAACACCACCATCACCCCCAAACACATGTTGGTCATATCTCAAATAAATATAGTTGATCAGGTTATATTTATTCCAGATATGATTACATAACTGCTTAGGTTTGACTGTAGTGTCCAACATCTAAATACTTTTGTTTGTTTTGTTCTTACTTGTTCTTATTATGATAGTTTTTCTTAGTATGTATGCTTATCAGTATACTTATCGTAAAATACTTATATTTTATAAGTTTACTTTTAGTCAGAGCACTCCGGCCCCATTGTATTTATAGTCGTATATCTTTTACTGGTTGATATACTAAGTTCACTATAAACAATGCTATGATACCAATCTGTCACACCCCCAAACCGAAACGGTGGAAACGTTCGGGGGCGGTGGACGTCATGTATAGTATCACAACAATTGAATAATAGTAATCAAAGCAACAACAACCATTGTATTAATAGTATAATGTTTACATTACATTTGAATCATACACGATTGACTCCAAAAGTAAATAACAAGTAAAGACTCAAAGCTACTATGCTTCATCTTCTTGAACCCAGAGCATGTACCTGTCTACTAATGTCCTGAGAATACAAGTAGGTTTTGAAAGAGTATCAACATAAAGCTGGTGAGTTCGTAAGCTTTTTGTTTTAGAAAACTGTTCTTTGTCCTTTCGAAAAGTACGTTATGTTTCTCCAGAAAACCTTATATTTTCTAATGTAATGAATGTTAAGTAAAAATAATTCTTGCTAGTTCTTCCTGCGAGTACTTAGTGTATACAAATCATATACAATCCAGATCGAACAAACAATCGATTGTGTGGTTCTGCCCCAAGCCCACAACCAAACAAGGAATAGGAAATGAGGCGGAGGCCATACATTCTCCTGGTTGTCGGATCCTTATGTACATAATCCTGAAGTATTCACTAGATACTTACAAAGTTAACTGTATTGGTCCTTTGATATTTGTTGAAAGTGTTCCTCAATAAAATCCATTATTTTCTTATTGAATGCATGATTAACCAATTATTTTTATAACTACTTAGCTCATACTAGCTATTTATAAACCAATATCGAACAGACGATTAATTGTGTGGATCTGCCCTAAGTCCACAACCACACAAGGAATAGGAAATGAGGCGGAAACCACACATTCCATGGTTTGTCGGATATTTTTCACGCATAGCCTGGATGCATAAACTAAGGAATTACAGAATTATTAGTGAATGTTCGTTAGTGAAGTGAATAACCGCTTGCTTGTAGAGTACTAATGTTTACCCTGGAAAAATCCTATATTTTCCTTAAGTGTAAGTTATTGAATTATCTGTTCCAAACCAAATAGTATAAGCATCTACCATACTTATGTTGTTAAGCATTGTTCTGTTTGAAAACCAATATGAATACCTTTGTATGAATACGCTTGTATGAAAACCTTTGTATGAATACCGTAGTGTGAATACCCTCCTGTGATCACTTAGTACATACGAGTTATAGAAATCTGGATCGAACAGACAGTCGATTGGGTGATTCTGCCCTAAGCCCACAACCAAACAAGGAACAAAAAATGAGGCGGAGATCACACATCCCATTGCAAGTTGGATGTTAATTTCATATTACCCTAGTGTATATACTAAGTCATCACATAGTTACTAACCCTAGTGACTGTTTGTTAGGTGTATTATTACGTGAACGAGTCGTTGTTTCACCTGTGGATTCTTATAACCATACTATGGACGATCAACATTACGACGTACTCGGACGTACATCGTGAAAAATGACGTTTGTCACCTTAGGTTGACTGTAGCTAATAGTCAGGGTGCGGGATTGTCACTCCCGTATAGATCTATACATAAACTCATGCTCTCCCTCCAGGAGACTCTGGTTACAAGGCGTCTCACACTGTAGTTCTCTCAACGAATTCACTAATAATACTATGAAAAATCCATTTTGTTATTAACATGAAATCTTATAAAATAATATCTTTTATTTTATAATTCATAAGTTTGTTTCCTTTGTTCTGAAAACTGTATTTGCAACGTTTATATCTTAACATGTTTATAAGGCTATCCGCAAACCTAGTAGCAACTATGTTCATCATGTTTAGTAAGTTCTATGTTCAATGTATAATAATGATAGGAAAATATAATAAACCAAATTATATTTTTAAACACAAGATTACTTGTGCTTTTACTTGTATTCCCTCCTGAAAACATTAAAAACTCGGAAAATATATGGGTATGAACTCACCGTTAATGGTGTGCAAGTGTCGAATCAATGAACTGGAAACGAAGACCCTCGAGTTGTTGTACGTGGAACTTAATGGAATCCTAATAACAATTAAATACATATATGTATCTAAATTAGTGATTTCATTAACTAAAGTGTTGGAAAAACACTTGCTTTCGGTTAAGGAATGTTACCACGACTTGATTGAATCGAGGAAAGCGGGTTTTCAGCCTAATGTACCACTCAGGGAGTGTGTACGGCCGTGAAAGGGAGTGTATGGCTGTGAACCGTGTACGACCGTAGACTGCCTTGAAGGGTGTACGGCCTTTGAAGGTGTACGACCGTGGATGAGTGTACGGTCAATGAGCTTGAAGGTATACGGCCGTACACTGAAGAACAAGAGTGCTGGAATTCGATGAATACGTGTTATAGATGCTCCGAAATGAATCCCCAAGGGTGTTTTTCGATGTTTTACGGAAGAATAAAGGTGTTTTAGGGGTGTACGGTCGATAGTCTAGAGAGTGAAGTAGAGGGTGTTCGGCCAGAAAAGTGTAAATGAGGGTAGGGTCTCGTATTTTTAAGGGTTTTCGTGGTCGGTGGTGGGGTCCACCCAACATTGGCCATAGACGAGTGTATGGCCGTACACGCGTGTACGGCCGTGAACCCAAGTCCGGCTGTGAATGGTTGTTTTGATCGACGGAAAACTCGAAATTTCGCGTAGTTTTGGTCCCGACTCATATATGAAGCTCAATTTTATAACAAAATGGCTTTCCAAGCCAAAGGAATTCGACGGGACTCAATAAAAATCCAAATTTTATTAACAAAATTTGGATAACGGAAATTGAAAAAGGTTCGGGTTGTCAGAATTATAATTAATTTTTAATTATATATGTTGCACCAAACAAATCACTCGATTACCCATTCCTGTTATTTTCACTCCGTGATCCTAAGATGATGATCTCATGGGACCTATCCCAAAGGATCACTGAGTATACAATACTACTTTGGGGATTCCTTAGAAATGTATGTCAATAAGGCAACGATGGAGTAAATATAATTCTCACATGAAGGTAACATCTACAGGTCGTAGGCATGCCCATGTATGGTTTATCTATCACCTACAGGTCGAAGACCTACCTGTGTATGGTTTGTTCAACATCTACAGGACCTGCCCATGTATGACTGATTAACACCTACATGTTGTAAACATGCATGTGTATGACTTATAAACACATACAGGTTGCAAGCATGTCCATGTTTAACTAGATATGTCTATAATAGTCTGTGGTCGTCCTATATATATTCCTAGATAACTAATACCTAGTACTACAACAGTACAATGTTGACTACAACCTCACCTCGTATTTTACTTTCCGTAATCCTTCACCACCCAATGTACTTTAGGCATGATAAAATAAATAGATTTATACTTTATTAAAATATACTTTAACGAAGTAAGCCATATTGAGCACAAGTATTGTAAATACAAATAATAGGCACACATATCATCCATGCAGTTAAATACTTCATATTTATGTGTAAGATGAAAGTAACTATGCACTCACTTGTTAAAAGTAGATGACTTGTGATTTGGGAAGCGCTTCGCCTAACGCTTTAGATTTTCCTTTGATATGACCTAGGTACGAATATCACTAAGTCTTAGTCTTATATTCTTGTGACTAATGATATTCTAGATTCCTCAATAATCCTAATGTCTACTGATCTATAGCTGATAAGGAACAACCAGATAAGATCATATCGGAGGTAGGGTCCATTTGGTATAAAGAGTATACTGTTTGGAAATCTCACTTTAACCACCTCACTAAATCTAGCATTGTCATCATTCCCGTAAGTAGATCAATCAGTATTATGACTTGGAATCACTGATATATCTTATTTATAAATTCATAACAACGACTATAAATATAAACATTATTGGAAAATTACTCATTAGTGTGGCCTTAGGACTATTTTGTAACGTTAATTACATGTTAGGTACACTTATATTTTGTACCATGATGTTTTCCATAGTGACATATTAGGTCCTTGGACTTTAAATTATGTAGTATGATGGATATAACATTTGTCTGTAACATGAGTGACTATATATGTGTGGTATAAGGTGGAATTATGATCATTTAACACGTATTAGGAGAAATGTATTATGTTGAGAAAAGGATCGATCTTTTCACTCTTAATCTTCAGTCTCTTTTTAAAAACGCCAACATAACATCTCTCTCTCTCTCTCTCTCTCTCTCTCTCTCTCTCGTATCATTTTAAGGCACCGTTATGGGAAGTGAGAATGATCATAATATGACATCACCATCTTCAACTCCATTAAAATTATCACTCCATACAAGTAAGCATTCTTCATCTTTGATTTAATGTTTATCAAGTAATTGAGAAATCGATCTTGGATTGTGTTTTCATGTGGTATCAGAGCCAAGTTTAATTTTAGATTACCGAATCCCAATTTCTGATTGTGAATCGTATAGAATAACAATTAAATACCCTAACCGTTTAGTGCATGTTCCCTTTCAAAATTGGAATTTTTAAAACCATATCATTTTGCCGTTCGATCTGCAAAAACAATAGTATCAATTTAAAAGTTAAGCCCTAAAGTTCGGTTTTAAGACTCATTTGATGCCGTTATCTAAAACTGTAATTTTTCTTATATAGCCATTTTTGGAATGTTTCTAGTTGAACTTCATATGCAATTTCTTTATTTTTGGTGTTTTATTGTTGTCATAATGTAATTGAACAAAACTAAATTATTTTGAAAGGATGTCTAAATATTATTAAAAAAGAACCTTAAAATCTAAATCGAAGAAATCAAGATCATTCATTTTATTTCATTCATTTTATTTCACTCCTGTTTCTCCACCATTGGATATTTTTGATGTCATCATCTTCGAATAAACAAGCGCCTCAAATTGCAAAAACTCTTACGTTTCTTACCCAATTTCATTCCTCACTTTTCTCTGCACACAATCAGCCATCGTCAAAAGCTCTCAAAGCATATATTCTATGTCTCTCATTTATCTCTTGAGTCTGTCAATACGACCTACAAGAAGGTAAGTGATCATTCTTTCTGATCTCTGTTTTTGGTTTTCGATCATAGATACACATCGTGGTTTTGAATTTTTTTGATGTTTTGAGTCTGTCAATACCGATTTCCATCTCTTTTGTTCTAAACCTTAATCCATTCCTTCAATCTATACCAAAAAACGTAACCCTATCGAATCAATCCTATGTGTTATCATCGAATCGATACCAGAAATCGGTACCTCCATCTCTTTTCTATACGAACATCTGCGCTCTGTGAAACTGATTCTCCTCCCCCTTTTGAATTCCCTAGATTCGGATGAATGGAAATACTTTGTGCATTACCTTGTAAGTTTGATACAATCTTTTTAGATCAGCTTGTTTTCATATTACCACATTAAGTAATTAACTACTTTCTTTCTGTTTTCAGGATTGGAATAAAAAGTGAGTAAGCTTTTCCTTTTCCTTTTCCTTTTCCATATCTATATTATATCTACTATGCATTTTATTTAGAAATAGTGTGTATAAACTATAAAGTTTGTCTTTTTAACCTTCATAAAGCTCCAATATCTTGATTACAGTTGGGATGAATGGGTTGGAGTTGACAGATTAATGAAGTATACAGAAGAAAACATTTTAAAGCAACAAGCACTTGACAAAAAACACGGTGTACACAAAAACTCAAAAGGAAGATCAACGCAAACTAAACCCAAAATATCAAATGGTAAGTAATTTGACTATTTTACCCCCTTCTTAACAATCTATTTTTATCTGCTATGAATAACAAAGAATTTTGTGTTTTTTGCATCTTTCAGATGTAAAGGTGGAAAAAGAAGATTTGAAGAGTAGTGGTATATTACTATATTATATTATTTGAACTCAAATAAATAATTTATTTATACATATATTGAGAAATTTTAACTATCTATTTCTGTGTTACTTACTCAGGGGCAAAAGGGAAAAAGAGAAAGAGTGATTTAAGTATAGAGGTATGTTTATGTTCAAATTCAAACATCTCATATTATATTATAAAATTTTTGTTCCCAAAATAACCCTATGCTTATGGTGTTAGAAAGAGAATGCATCTGTTGAAAAACCTGTAAAGATTCAAATTCCATCAGCTATAAAAAATGCTTATGTTCATGAGTTCAACCTGTGATGATTATAATCTTATCAAACTTACTGATGTGAATTACTCTTCATTAAAAGTTTAACGCTATATCTTCTGTATGGATATGCTCTACAGGCATTTAACATAACTCTGCATTAGCAACACTTGATGGAATTGATGTGATCGGAAGCAGACTAGCAGATGAGGTGAGTATCTTCCTTTTTTCCATTTTCCTCCTTTTTAGTGTTAAATGCAAGACCTAGAAATATTTATAATTTATTTGTAGATTCATTTTCTGCTATGACAGCATTGTAGTTCGAAGTAAAAGTGGTGTTTTTGCATGCAGGTGATATCTGTCATAGAATGCAATCCTAATGTTGAAAACATTTCAATTATAGGCCACTCACTTGGTTGCCTAATATCAAGATATGATATTGACAACCTGTACACACAAAATCAATCATACCATTTGACTGGAAACTATAGATCTGTGACATGTAATGGAAATATTACTGGAATTGAGGCTATTAATTTTATTACAGTTGCCACTCCATACCTTGGTTCAAGAGGACGTAGACAGGTAATAATAATTTTAATAAGCAAGTGGGACAAAATCAGAATCCTGTGAATGATGATTATGGCTGGTTGGATGGGTATCAGTTGCAATCATCAATGGCTGGTACTGTTGAGTTCTACATTTGTGGTTATTTGGGTTGGGGAGGGATGTGGTCCTTGTGATGTCAGCATATCCTTATCCATATCTGCCTAAAATCTGTATAAATGTCTCATTTGTGGATTTGGCTTACATCTGGAGATGAAAATGAAAATAAAAAGGGTGGAACATCTCAATGGAAGCATATTATAATAATTCATACATATAAATGTTTGTTATATTCAACTTCTGCCATTCGCTCTAATGCTTCTCAGTATGTTAGAAATAATCTTGGTTTTTTGTTTTTGTTTTTTATTTTCAAGAAATGATACATGAGAGAGGTATGTTTTTGCTTTTGTTTTTGTTGGATTTTGGACAAACTACTACAATTTCACATGATGTTTGTTGTTCGATAAATTTTTATTTGCTTAATATTAAAAGTCGGAAATGTAATTAATCGCTTGACACATTCGTTTGACTATCATAATCATCATTACACATATATTTGTCAATTTCAACTTCGATCTCAGTTGTATTCTTGTGTATATTTTTTATTTGTTGAAATATAGTTTAAACTTTTTTAATGAAGTAAACTTATAGGCCATGCTTTTAATGCAATCCACATTCTTACATATTTTTATTGCAATCCACATTCTTACAAAAATTAAAAAAATAAGTTATACACAATATTATTTTAGGTTGGTATAATGGGTGTTATAAACAATTTATTTGTATCTTTTACCCATAATATCAACACACTTGCATTATTTATTTCTTATACAAACATCTTTACATCAAGCATCAATCAACTAAACCAAAAAAAAGATCGAAGGAGCAAAAACCCATTTGGTTTGTTTAAATATAAATGTTAAAATCACATCTCCAATATTAAGTTAAGAATGGTAATGTAAGATAACAAAAATACATGTAACATCCGGATTTCCAGGTATTATGTTTGATCATTTATTCTTTTGAGTAAAAGGGAGGGACTCAACGAGTTGAGGCGTAGACTCGTCGAGTAGGATCGCGTGTGCTGATTGGATTAATGAACAGACTCGACGAGTCGGAAAGGGTGGACTCGACGAGTCCGCGCTGTGGATTGAAACTCTAATTCTCGGGGGTCTGAGCCCTATTTAAAGGCCTTTATGGCCTCCATTTGCGGCTACCAGTCCAGAGAGAGATACCCTAGCGATTGTGAGCGAGTTGTGAGAGAGTTTGAGCCTTTTGATCATTTTTGGTGAGATTTTGCAAAGGAGAAAGTGTTTCCAGCAAGGGGAGGTCAAGAGGATTGCATTTCAGTGGGTTTTCGGCTTGGATCTTCAAGTTTGAGGTAGCTATTTGATCTTATCCTTCTGTTTCGCTTAAGGGCATTGAATTTAGGGTTTTCTATACCCTTTTATGGCTTGTTTAGTTGTGTATAGTGTCCCATTGAGTGCTAAACTCTAGATTTGGACCTTTTGAGGTCCAGAGAGCCTGAACCATGCTGCTTTTTGTGGTTCTATGGAGGAAATGGACATAGGTTGCCATGTTAGAAGGGATTTCACCGAAATAAGCCTTGGGAGCATTGTATGTGTAGCAAGATTCGACCTTTACGTGTTTATTGGTCATGGGGAAGTCAGATCTATAGATTAGAGAAGCAGATCTGACCTCAAGAGGTCAGATGAGTGTTGTCATGGGAGGAACTCGCCGAGCCGATAAGGGACTCGACGAGTCGAGTCGGGTTGCCCCGCGATTCGCGACCGGTGATGACCCGTTGAGTGTAGGGTTGACTCAGCGAGTCGAGTGAGGACCAGGGGCGAAGAGGACATGCATGGACTCGCCGAGTCACACGAGTGCACTCGGCGAGTCTGGTCAAAGTTTGACCGTTGACTTTTGTTGACTTTTAGGGTTTGGTCAACAATTGGACCTGTGGACCATTGAAGGGTAAAATGGTCTTTTAGCCTTCTTAGAGGATATTGAAGAGACTAGTCTAGCCTGTAAAGCCGTTATTGATTCGAAGTAATTGTTTATGTGTTTAGGCGGAGGCTAGATCAGTATACGTGTGTCATGGGGAAGTCAAATCTATAGATTAGAGAAGCAGATCTGACCTCAAGAGGTCAGATGAGTGTTGTCATGGGAGGAACTCGCCGAGCCCATAAGGGACTCGACGAGTCGAGTCGGGTTGCCCCGCGATTCGCGACCGGTGATGACCCGTTGAGTGTAGGGTTGACTCAGCGAGTCGAGTGAGGACCAGGGGCGAAGAGGACATGCATGGACTCGCCGAGTCACACGAGTGCACTCGGCGAGTCTGGTCAAAGTTTGACTGTTGACTTTTGTTGACTTTTAGGGTTTGGTCAACAATTGGACCTGTGGACCATTGAAGGGTAAAATGGTCTTTTAGCCTTCTTAGAGGATATTGAAGAGACTAGTCTAGCCTGTAAAGCCGTTATTGATTCGAAGTAATTGTTTATGTGTTTAGGCGGAGGCTAGATCAGTATACGTGTGCGAGATTATCCGAGATAGCCAAGGTGAGTCTTCTCACTATACTGTACCTAGAGTGGTACCTATGGGTGACCGGAAGGTCTTGTATGCTATGAGATGTATGTGCTATATGATGTTATGTGATATGTATGTGTTATGTATGTTATGTATGACATGGACCGGAAGGTCAGGAGGTTACGGACCGGAAGGTCGATACTGGTAGGACCGGAATGTCTACCGGGATTCGGGACGGAAGTCCCCTGAGACACATGGATCGGAAGATCCTACAGAGTTATGGCCTGGAAAGGCGTATGTGTTGTATGTGGTATCTTGGGGAACTCACTAAACATTTATGCTTACAGTTGTTGTGTTATGTGTTTCAGGTACCAGCGAGGATCGCGGGAAGGCGCCGGCATGGTCTGCACACACTGATGAAGATTTATGTACTTGAGATTCTGGGGTTGTTCATTGAGATATTGTGTGATATAGTAGGTTTTGTTATGAATGAATTATGTTTTAAAAACGAAAAATTGTTTGAAAATTTACGTTGTTACAAGTTGGTATCAGAGCCTTGGTTTGAGGGATTCGGATGCACCTTCGGGTGTATTTGAACTCAAACTGAGGATTTGAGGAAGTTTTTCATAAAATAAATAATTTTTCTAAAGAAGTAAAAGGATTTGAGAAAAGCAGAAGGAAGCAGTGTGTACGATCAACCAGCGCCCGAACGGTGATTTCCCAAAATACCCTTACATTATGTGTTAAGAGATACGTTATGATATGTTATGCATGTTAAAGTAGGCTAGGTATTCATATTAGGACTAGAGTGGCCTGATTTGTGATGCCTTAGCCTAGGAAGATTTCTGCTGCTATGGGATGCTTGAGAGTGAGTAGGTAGCAGTGAGGAGCTTATGAGAGGCCTACCGAAGGGTAGCCTATGCTAGCGAGATGTAGAGTACTTGGGATCTGGGATCCAAGGAGGAGGACTTGGGGTGAATACTGATGTGGTGTGGACGGTAGTATAGGGCCCGTACTACTGAAAACACCGGATCAGTGCGCAGTCCAAGTAAGAATCCTTAGGGTACTAAGGAACAAGTAGGGCTGAGTTATCGAGTGCGAGTACACTCGAGTGAGTCTCTGATATTTTTTTTATGTTGTATTTCGGAGACATCATGGTTGAGACACGCCACAGACCTGAGACGAGCGGCGTGAGTGACGAGGAGCTTCGTCAGATGATCCACGATGAGGTGGCAGCGGCGATTCGAGCCGAGATTCTGGAGATGTTTGGGTCTATCAAGACCACTTTGATTGAGACGTTTGACGAGAGATACGCAGCGGTTACTGAGGCTGCGACTGCTGCAGCTACTGCAGCTGTGGCTGCTGCTAGACCTCAGGGGGGGGGGTGACTCGATGCTGTTCCGGGAGTTCAGCAACACGAAGCCACCGGAGTTTGATGGGACGCAGGATCCGATTGCTGCGATGAGATGGATTTCTGATATCGAGGGATGCTTCTACACCTGTTCGTGTCCGGAGCATCTGAGGGTTCGGTTTGCACTGAAACAGTTTCGCTTGGGGGCGAAGGACTGGTGGAAGTTCGTGGCAGCGAAATTCACTCTTGCAGAGATTTCGGAGGTGACATGGGAGAGGTTCACCACCATGTTCAGAGACGAGTATGTTCCCCGGTGGAGCGGGAACGGTTAGCACATGAGTTCTTGTCCCTCAAGCAGGGGACGGAGTCCGTGACTGTGATTACACGGATGTTTCACGAGAGGGCGTTGTTTTGCCTTGAGCACGTGTCGTCTGAGCAGGCACGCATGAGACGATATTTGAGCATTGAGAAGTGATGTCATGGTTCGAGTACCATGATAAGTAGCAGATTGAGAAGTGATGTCATGGTTCGAGTCCCATGAGTTGTAGCAGGTCGAGAGTTGATGTCATGGTTCGAGTGCCATGATTTGAGGTGGATTGAGAAGAGGGAACGTGGTTTGAGTATCATGACATGTGGCGGTTAGTGTTCTGGTTTTTACCAGTTATTCCGTGGGGATTGTCTAGACTGAGATCGAAGTGAATGAGTGTGGGGCCAGAAGGCCATGATGAACCAGTTGTAGTGGAGCATCCCTTGAAAGGGGAAATCAAGTGAGCTCCGAGGGATTGTGGGTGATATGCCAGTTGGAGTCGCAAGACTCGGGGATGAGTAGGTATGGTGCGTTATGGGAGAATACGGTCTGGGCTGGGCGACCGGCCGATAGTGGAGAGGTCACTTTTGGTGACCCGAGTGGTGCTATATCCGTTTCCTGTGGGAGACATAAGAGGTGTTGAGATTTCGGTTTTGAGTTTGGGGGTGAGCCCTGTGGGATTGCACGGATGGTGATCTTCAACCAGAGTATGTGGCAGTAGGTCTGCCGCGAGGTAAGATATAGCTTGAACAGGTCGTCAGTGGGGACTGAGATGGTCAAGGACCAGGAGACGCCCTAATTGAGTATAGTAGTGCATGTGTTAGCTGTAACGTCGGACGATCAAGAGGAGTATATCAGAGTGGTGGCCCTTATTGTCTTTGATGAGTGTTAAGGGCAGAAATATGGTTTCTGCTCTTATGATAAGTGACGTGATGGAACGTTGGTTGAGGAGTCCATGATGAGGAGTACGGTAGATCATTACTTCCAGACTAAGAGTCAGGGTTAATACTGGACAATTGGGAGGTCCGGTGATGGAATGGTGTGAGACTCTGAATGACTAGAGGCAGTCATGGTGGAAAGTTCTGAGGATTTCATCTGAGTTTCGGGGCATTTGGAGCTGCTCGATC